GGTTGCTTCAATTGCTGTGTTTCTTGTCAGCAATTACCTTTATAACCAACATAGGTTATTCAAAATATGTTAATTACTGATAAGGAACTAAAGCCCAATTCTAATAGTCACAAAAACAAAAAATTTGGTTGCTTTCTTACATTACAAACTTATACGTGCACACCACACACACGTGTGCACGTACACACACACACACACACACACACACTCCCCAGAGCACACTTTGGTTATTTTATTTCAGGTGCAGTATTGGTACATGAGGAATAATAGAGGGAATCATAACACCCATGGAGAGCGTTGGTTTCAGATAGCAATTCCAGAGTGGTTTTCATGCCAGAGGCTCACATCCTGTCTGTGGTTCACTACGGAAAATGGAGTTGAGCAAAATGAGGGACAGAGACCAATTTTCCTTTGCTCTAAAGACACCTCACGCTTTGTACAATAAGTGTTTTCCATTAGAAGGAAAATGCTGCGCATTAGTGCTCCTGAGAAAAAATAGTGATTGCCAGTAATGCCATCAGGAAACGATTTTTAAAATGTTTCACAGTATAAGCACGAATCAATCATTAAGTAGGGGAAACAACTTACTTTGCAGACTTGGAACATTAATGACAACATTTTTTGAAGGTAGAGTTATTTTAGGAGAGTGTGAATTTTGATTTTAGGAACATGCACAAGGGATAGAGTATGAAGTGCAAGTCAGAATGTTTCATTAAAATAAACAAGAAACAGAGCCAAGACCCAGAATACACGAGCCTCTGTCCTGTGAGTTTCGTTGGGGAGAGTGGAACAGGATGAGACATGGCTAAACGAGGTATCACCAATAATCTCAAGAGTAGACTCGGCATCCTTTTTGTCGTGCTGGGCTGCTGGTGCCTGGTCATGTGCTACACTGTGGAGCTACACTCAGACCTTGGGAGTTGATTTTCGTAATGAAAAGTATATGGTGCTTTCAATAAGCTTCTGCTTAAAAATTATCATGATTTAAGATGCTTTTCAGAAAATGCGGACAATGGCAAAGACTACATTAATTAAATATTTTTAAATGATAGACAACCCTTTCTGACTTGTCACAGACCTGTTCTTTATGACAAGTTACCCTTATGTTGGCTGATCATAGAGGGAAAGGTCAAGTACAGGTCTCCACTGTGGGCATTATCTTCCACTTATTAGGTGGCTTCCCAAATCCTACCCTGAGGACTGTACGAGGGCTCAGCTCAAATATGTGATGTTGGGAAGATTGAAGCTGGAAATTACCCTAAGAACATTATTTTAAAATGCAACTTAGGGTAATAAATGTGCATTTCTTGAGCATAAAGCAGTTGAAAACTGCATGCATTTGTTGCACCTCTAGAAGATTATTTGGTGAGTCACCGAGCCAGGAAACAGATGTAAAAATTCTGACGTAAGACGCTTAAGAGGCCTGAATGATGATCTCTGTTCAATCCTTTATGAACTGAAGCCCAGAGGAAGGGAAATGACTAGCCCAAGGTTACATTTTGCCTTGTTGTTTAAAAGATTTCATTCAGTTCTCAGCTTAGAAGGCACTTTGTTCATTTTTAATATGGCACATGGGTGCATTTTACACCTTGAGTTTATAGTCTGGTCTTGAAAATAACCAATGATTCAATTGACGCAAAAGAAGGATGACGGTGAGCCAATGAAGGGAAGGCCAATCTTACTTCCTGCTGGTGTCAGCTTTTCAGGAGCTGAGTGCCATGGCTGTATGTCGTCTCAGACTCCAGATTCACTCCCCTGATGTTCCAACAGCTGGTGAGCAGAGAAAAGAGTGAAAATGATAAACGCAAATGTCAACCAACAGGTTGCAACTAAGGGCTAACAACAGGGAGATTGAGGGAACTGTCGCTGGGTATCAGCGCAGAAGGTTTCCGAAAACTCCATAATGGGTCTAAGGAAATTTCCCATGAAGGATGAAGTTTTAGGATCAGAATAAAAGTTCAGTGTTAACTAGAAAAAACCCTGCACCAAGATTCTACTGCTCCACTTGGTTTAACGGGGCATTTGGACTTTTATGTCTTTCATCTTATGTGTCCTTATTTTAAGGACAACAGTGCTCACCCTGTTTAATTTCCAGAGGAATGGGAAGGTAGTTCTTTTATGTCAACTAAGGGGGAAAGTTGTGTTGAGACACTAGATTGAAAAGTTCTTTGTAGTTTAAAGTTTGTTTCATTATAGTAGCGTTTGGCTTTTAATCGCCCAAATTATGACTGTATTACTATTTCTTATTTAAAAAATGAGGTATTCTATTTTTATGTCCAGCAATGTACCGGCATTTTGGTCATGAATCAAATAGGATGATTAACTTTACTCCCCAAGAATTCTGCTTTCTGAATCAGTGAGGTTTTATTTAACGAATGTTTTTTGAGTTGGAAGTTCTATATGATGATTACACTCTCTAAGGTAAAATGTGTGGAAAAAGGTGACTGACCTTGAGAAATATACAACTGCTGTGTTGGAGTTCTTTCAGGGTTGAAGTGGAGTAATAAAACCAGAAATCACAGAACGGTTTTCAATTTCAAAGACAGGCTGTCTGACCTTGCCTAAATAGTCTGCATAGAAACCAAGAAGGAACACGGAGAAGGAAATTGAGTTCCCCTCCAGGTGACACACACCACAACCACCTCCATTAATACGTCTGGGATTACAGCGTGTGCCATTCACTTTAGGTTCCACCAAGCTCTTGCCTAGAAATGTATTTCTATTCTTACTTGAAAAAATTCTGATCAAACTTCTATACCCCCTTACACCCACATGCGCACGTTAATTCCCCACCCTTCCCCCAATCATTCTTGTTTTTCTGTCTCCCTGAACTAGGGATATGGCAGATAAAAGAATTCTTTCTGATATATGTTTGGCTCTTTTTGAACAAGTTTTCTCTTGAAACCATTAAGGGGACTTACCAGATACCTAGACTCACCAGTATTTTAGATTCCTTGCTAAAGTGTTCACACTCAGAGGAAGGAAACTACATGGATTACTGGCTTCCATCATGCCTGGCATTGTCCCATTTGTCAGTAATCACCTCCTCACCGCCTCATTCAATGGGTGATTGTTCGTTCTCCATGTCCTATTCTTGTGCCCTGGCTGCCCGTCTGCTGGCTAGGAGGCAGCACTGCAGTGTCTCAGGTGAGCTGGATGGAAGTGTTGAGGTTTGTGTGGGTTTCTCTTTTTTTAGATTGTGTAATATTAAACATCAGGAGTTCAACTGGGAATATTTGTTTTTAGAGGGGGAATGGCCTTCTTCATTCAACGGCTGGGGAAAACAGTTGAAATTGTGAAAGTGTGTTGTGACCACACAGGCATACTTTGTCTCCTAATGCGGTGAGATAGGACATAGAACATTCTAGGCTGATTTATATTGCTCTGGCAATGAGGGGGCGGGGGAGGGTGTTTGTGTTTACCTGGTTAAATGAGGGAGGTAAGACCAGGGACTGTCCCAGAGGAGGCACTCTAGACTCGGTGCTAGTCAGAGGCATCCTCAGTGGGTGTGTTTTCAGTAGTTAGTGAGTTGCAGTGTTCGAGGCCCAGGATCTGGATTTGAGGTCAGAAAATCAAGTCACTCCCATGGAAATGGATTGCTTTTTCTTTGTGCCCCAGTGGCATCTAGAGTCATGGATGACCTAAACCTTTGAGCGGAGTGTGGAGTGCAGACTCTCCTCCCCACCTCCTCTTCCCCTCCCTCTCCAGGAGCCTTGAGAGGACATTTTGCTCTTCATTCCTGCCAGGCCTTGCTTCCGCATTCTCTAACAACCAAAGATCCTTGTCGAGAGGGCAAAAGTCACAAGCATTTTTGTCATTAGAATGCAGCGGTTATGTGTATCCATCTAAATAATAGAGGCTTTGAATAAATGTGGCAAGGATTATAATGGCTTCTTGTTAATGACTGGAAAAAAAGCAGGAGGGCCCCCGGGCTACACATCTTCCCCACCTGTGTTTCCACGCACCCTCTGCTGTCTGCTCCAACTGGAGCTGGTTACTTGTCATTTTGCCACATGGCTGAGCCCCAGGGAGAATGGTCAATGGAACAAGTGCAAAGAAAATGGTTTGCAGCAAGAGCCTTTCTTTTCTTCAAATCAAAATCCCCCTTTGCCTCCCCTTTAAAACCCAAATTAGTGGGTTTTACCAGAAAAAAAGGAGGATAGACTATGCCCTGCTGTTGCTAGGTAACAGAAAAAACCATAGGAACCTGGCTACTCTTGCTAAGTGATTTGTGTAGTGTTAACAGATTTGCATAATGGTGAGGCTAAAGGGTTTTCATCCTTCAACTCCTTTCTCCCCATCCCTTACCCACATCAACAAAATCCCAGATACATTATTTGTCTTGAGGTCAATTCTTGATTTTAAGATACTTGAGGGAAGGTGCTATACAGATAAAAATACTATAGTTAATTGCATGTAGCTAGAGTATGCACTGTATTTCTAAGATCTTGAACCCATTTTTAAAAATAAATGGGTACCAACGTGACTGGTGTAGCTCAGTTGGTTGAGTATCGTCCCGTGCACCAAAAGGTCACGGGTTTGATTCCCAGTCAGGGCACATGCCCAGGTTGGGGGTTCTGTCTCCGGTTGGGGTTTGTACAGTAGGCAACTGATCTCTCTCTTCCCCTCTCTTTTTCTCTCTCTCCCCCCTTCCTCTCTCTCTAAAATAAAAACATATTTTAAAAAATAAGTAAATAAATAATAAATAGGTATTACCCTTTCTCAGCAATAGCAGTGTTTTCACAGCCCACAAATGGTGACAAGTCTGTTTATTTGACACGTCCCTAGGAGTATTTTATGAAGGTTATGTTTAGCCACAGGAGACATTTGTACACACAACCAAGTATATCTTAATCGCACTAATTAGATCATTAGATGCCTGTTTTGTTTCTTTCTCACTGGATTCTGCCATTCTCCTTGTGGCTGGCTGAGTCATAGTTCATCTGCCTTGTGGGTCTCATGCTGACTCCCCTGTGACCTGTGCTGTCTGTCTGTTGCAGATTTGGACATCTCTGAGGCTGAGTTCCCAACGCCCCCTGACTCAAACCCACCCGGCCCTGAGCTGCAGACGTTTATAGCAGAAGCAAAGCTAAATCTACAGACACTGACCAGGCAAGATGGGGAAACTGGAGATGGAGCCGAAGAAAATATTGTTTACCTCTAATTGTGTTGTCATTATTTTTCCCAACAAAACAGAACACTGACATTTTGGGGAGAATTTTTATTTTCCTTTCCTGATATGTGTGTGACTGTGTCCAAATTGCTTTAAGAGTAATAGTTAATATTTCATGCAAGTTCCTTTTGGGGGGCATGAGTCTAATAATTAAATTATTGAAAGCAGCTCTGTGTGTATAATGGTTAACTCACCATACCTAATTTCAGATTTCTGGAGGAGAAATTAACTTGAATAAGCAGAAATATTTTCAAAGTTCTGACTCTGGACTGAAATTGCACATTGCATTTTCTACTGAATCATCTGGTTTTTGAAATGCCTTTTAAGACCCAGATGAAGCAATTTGAATGGAAAGAATGGTATTCATGATGGGCAAACTTTCACAATCACAGCAGTTGATTACAGCAAGTGGCCTTCCTGCCCCAGAGACAGAGGAGGCAGTGGGAAAGGCCTTTTCTTGCTTAGTTTTTCCATGCTAATTGCTCTTGGGGACATCAAAGGGTTGCTCTTGGTGGTGACCTGTCACAGTCCTGGTGCAGCCAACGTGTGCTATTTGGACACTGTTCTGAGCAGGAGGCCACTCTGCCATGGACACAATCTGGACTCTTATGACCTGCGCCACATGCTTCGCAGATGCACTTCCTCAGCCCAGTGCTGGTTGTTTTTCAAGCCACATCTTTCAAGAGAGCCCAGAGGCAAAGCTCCAGCATGGTCAATTTTGCTGTAAATAGTGAAACTCCAGTAGTGCCCTCACTTCTCTCATCTGGTCCTGTCCTGCCAGGCCTGGGAGCACCAACTACCACTCGCTAGAAGCATCTCTCCCTCAGTTCTTTAAGGACAGGAATTGCTCTCTCGGCAAAGCTTACTGCCTGTTTGTGATTTTCCACAAAGGAAAGCTCTTACGTTCTGTCCTCAGAGTAATATGGGTCTCTGTGTGAGAAAATAAACCAGAAAATGTTTTCAGCTTGTTCTTCAGAAATACTTGTACATGTTTCGGTCAGTGTCAATAAATGTTCTTTACCTGTCTATTTTACTTTGAAATTTTAATATTGTGTAGGACCATAGTAAAATACACATACACACAAATACAATCTCCCCTTATGAAAATGAGGTAAAGGAGGAGTATCAATTCACCTAGAATTGTAGCCCTTCCCAGAAGGGAGCTATGATGGGAAGGGGAAAAATTCACTGAGATTCCATTGTTTGCTGTTTTTTTCCTAAAGTTGCCAGTTGAATATCTAGTTGATATTTTCCACTTAGGCAAGTTAAGTCTTAGTGTTTTTTTAAAGGAGCCTTTTGGGGGGCACTCTTTTTCTGACTCTTTTTGCTTTTGGCCATTTTGGTCCCAATCCTATATAATAAAAGGGCAATATGCAAATTGACCCTACCAGCAGAGCAACTGGGAATGACTGGTCACTATGACACACACTGACCACCAGGGGGCAGACGCTCAATGCAGGAGCTGCCCCCTGGTGGTCAGTGCACTCCCACAGGGGGAGCTCTGCTCAGCCACAAGCCAGGCTGACGGCTGCCAGCACAGCGGTGGTGGCGGGGGCCTCTCCTGCCTCCTCAGTAGCGCTAAGGATGTCCGACTGCAGCTTAGGCCTGCTCCCCGCTGGCAAGTGGACATCCCCCGAGGGCTCCTGGGCTGCCAGAGGATGTCTGATTGCCAGCTTAGGCCTGATCCCCCAGTGGACATCCCCGAGGGGTCCCAGACTGCGAGAGGGCACAGGCCGGGCTGAGGGACCCCCCCCCCGAGTGCACAAATTTTTGTGCACCGGGCCTCTAGTCATATTATATTAAATTCAGAGACTAATTTCACAGAATGCATACAGCGTATTAAAATTTTAGTCAATTACTTCACCTCCAAGCTGAACTCCTACTAAATTATAAGATGCAGCTTCCATTCCTAAAGACATTTAGAGAAAAACAAACCTGTCTTTCCTCTCTCGCCAGCAAAGTCTATTCCAGAATCTGTGTCCCTGGAATAAAAACCATACAGATATTTCAGTCTATATCCTTGCTCCAATAACTATAAATAACTTCTTTTTTTCCCTAACAGTGGATATGGAAATTACCACATGTGAAAATATATAAAAATGTTCCAAATCTCCATGGCACTCTTTAAAAATACGTGTGCTCAGTTGGTTTTTAAGCTCTGCAAAATCTAGGTATTCATGTCATCACCCTGGGAAGCCCTAGAACCTTTTGAGATACCTCTACTGTATTCATAGTTTCCTCTTTAATTTTATGATTTTTCAACTAAATATAACTGAGTTTCAAAGTTTGCTTGATAAGTTCTTCCTTTTCGCTTTGGCCTCACAATGTAATGAGCTCGGATCTCAACAGAGGTCACTATGTGGCTCCAACAGGAATTCCAGCTAACCTTTAGAGTAGAGTAGAACACCCTATCTCCCAGCATAATATGTTTCCCCTCAAAGGATCTACTTATCCTATGAACCAAAGAGCTTAAAGGAGACAGTGAGCTCTTGAGAGATTTGTTGTGGAGGAAATAGTAATGTTTTTCTCTGTCCCAGGCTGCATGCGTTAAGTGCCATCTCATTTACAGCCCAAGCTACTCTGCATTTCATCAGGACTGCATAATGACGGCACTCATGCAGCACCTTCCAGCCCACCTACAACAGGAACCCTGCTCATTCAGAAAAGGGTAAAATAAAAATACTTGTTGCAGAGGTGTGGTGGCTGGGTGTATGCAGTAAGAGTTATGAAAGGTAAAGAAGGTAAGAGTTATGTAAGGTAAAGGCGAGCCTAATTAAATCATGGGATGACAGATAAAGAAGAAGAAAGGAGTATGTCCTCCTTCCTGTGACCTAGGTCCACCTTTCAAAGTCAGAATCAACCTGAGGTTATTAAGGTTCAACCCTCTCTGTCCGCATAGCAGTTGAGAGTTGTTCTAGGTATGCCACTTCACCTCCCTAGGCTCAGTTTCCCCATCTATAAATCAGGGGTGACTACCTTAGAGAATTGTTGTGAGAATTAAATGATTAATATATGCAGTGTTATTAGGACAGAGCCTGGGACTTAGAAATCATTAATATATGCTAGCTTTTATTATCATATCATTAAAAATCTCTTAATAATTGCCCAGTCTTGTCCCAGCCCTTAGGCAATGGTACCTGCACATCCAGAAACAGTGAATAGAGAAGTCAGATGCCTGGAGGAGGCTTGTCATAAGACCTGGACTAGGGTTTCACAAGATTAGTTTCAACTTATTTGCATCCCTAAATCTCCACTCAACTTATTTATTCAATAAATATTTATTGACTGTCTGCTAAAGGCCAACCAATCTGTTAGGAATGAAGTTGAGATGAATAAGCCTGCAAGTTGTTGGAAAAGACAAACACGTGAACAGGTATGAAGAAGTACAGTTGCTATGGGAGCTCATAGGGAGAGCATGTTGGGGCCAGGAATACACAGAATGGAGGGAGTTGTCTTAAAGCAGCAGATGCCTGAGGCTTGAAGGAGAAGTAGAGAGTCGGAGAGGGAGCGGGAAAGACATTCTGAGCAAGGAAAGCAACCCAGACAAAAGTCTAAAGCAGCTGTGGGCAAACTACGGCCCGCGGGCCGGATCCGGCCCGTTTGAAATTAATAAAACTAAAAAAAAAAAGACCGTACCCTTTTATGTAATGATGTTTACTTTGAATTTATATTAGTTCACACAAACACTCCATCCATGCTTTTGTTCCGGCCCTCCGGTCCAGTTTAAGAACCCATTGTGGCCCTCGAGTCAAAAAGTTTGCCCACCCCTGGTCTAAAGGCACAAAACAAAAGTTGTGAGAGAGATGGGAGCACACATTTGGAGGTACTGCAGGGCGAGTTCCTCCCCTGGATTAAGGTGTCCAGTGAGAACCCCCTTCCGTCTTGCCCTCTCTCGTGCACTCTTGGACTAGTGAGGAACACACAAGTTTCTCTCAACTTGGTAACTGATCCGGTTCCAAGGCGAGCCAGGCTATCAGGAATGTGTCCTCTCCTCCTTCCCTCACCCTTCCAACCCACCTCCACCATAAAGGGTTGTGGTCAGATGGCCAACTGGATAGCTGCTTACTGGACCCCAAGCCACAAGAAACCAAGAATAAAGGAAACCCTGGAACTACATGAAGATGCTATTAGAACAGAGGGTTCCAGAGGGTGCCTTGGGGTGCTTCTGAGACAAACTGATGACTTATATGAGTCCAAGCACAGGTTTAAGTGAAGGGGGAAAAAGAGGAAAAAAAAGTACATACTTGGCTCTTCTGATTTATTTTCTTATCTCTGTTTTATTAAGGTGTTTTGGGGGGTACGTGTGTAGAGGAACATATTCCTTTATTTCTTCATCTTTCTTGACTCTGTGTTGGTTTCTGTGTATTAGATGACACAGCCACCTCTCCCAGACATGAAGGAGTGGCCTCATCTAAGAGGTGGACCTTCCTGTCACCCCTGCCCTGGCCCTTGGTTGTCCCTGGAGCCTTTTGGTTGTCCAAGCAGCCTGTTTTCTTCTGTGGTGGCTCCAGTCGTGAGTGTGTGCAAGACCTGCCCTGCTGTCCCCGTGGGGCTGACCTCAGGGAGCCTCTAGATTTAGGCTGGGAAGCCTGACCCTCAGGCAGCAGCTGTCAACACAAGCCTAAGTCCTGTTGGCCACCAGACCAGGAGATCTGGAGGTGTCTCTTGGGCGACAATCACAAAAATAGGGGCTCCAGATGAGTCTGTAAGTTCCTTTCCGGCCACACCTAGGCAGAGAGGGGGTCAAGAGGGGGTCCTGGTTTATTCTGCCAGGGCCCTTCATGGGTCCCTAGGGTGGCCACACCAGGAGCCGGCCCCGCAGGCCAAAGCTCCCCAACAAGCAAACAGGCCAATTTTTCAAAAAAGACTGGGCTGTATTTCAGCCTCTCTGTGCAGTGCCCTGGGGTGGTGGCCTGCCCGGAGCTGTCTCTCTGACAGTTCCAGACCCATGGGACCTAGAGAGAGGGAGATAGAGGGAGAGAGAGAGAGAGAGAGAGAGAGAGAGAGGATGGTACCCTCTGAGGGGGGAATGTTGCCTGGGGTTTCAAAAAGGAAGAGAGCACGCAACTGTGGCCCCTGAGTACTGGGGGTACAGAGGACACGCCCCAGCGCCCCTGAAGAGTTTCCCTACACGCCCTGGCCCTCGGGCGGCGGGCCGGCGCTTTAGCAGCAAATTCTGTGGGACGGGAGTCTGGTGCTTCGCAAGCTGCCGGCTCTGCGCTGCGCCTGGCAGTAGGCCGCGCGGGCCCTTTAAGCGCCTCAGTGCCTCCCAGCCTTCGGGGCTCCTGGATTCGCCCCTGCCGCTGCTTTCAATGCCAGGGTGTTTGGGGGCACCTCTCTCGGGTGGAGGCTGCAGGCGGGAAGAGTTGAGGTGCCCGACGTGGGAAGAACTTGGAACTTCTCACTCCTCCGAGAGG